TTCGACCCCCAAAGGGGTCGCGACCCACAGGTTGAGAACCGCTGCTCTGGATAATCTTGGAAATATCCACCTGGCAGTTAATTCAAGTTTCAACATACATTCAGGTATCTAAGCAGTCTTTCATTTGTAGAGTGAAAAGTAACACTGACCAGGTGTTTCATCACCAAAAAGGATTTATTCAGGAAAAAGAAAGTGTTACAATCCAACTCAAGCAGACATGGCAAGCCACGTGAACACTCTGGCCTACATGTCAAGATAGAAGGGTATTTATGGAAGGAAAAAGGAAGTTAGGACCATAGAGCTTTATTATAAACACAGATTTCTTCCTGTAGTGTTGTCGTGATTACAATTACTAGAGTGTGAGAACTTCCATAAGTCCTAGCTCCTCCAACAGACATTCTCTAAGCAAATAAAAACTGATTATGTTTGCTTAAAGTTCCAGTTCATCTTTATCAAGTTGCTAACTGATTAATCTCTCTTGTCTCTTCCTTCCACCCTCTGGCTTGCTGCAATTTAATTTAGGACACTTCAGAACTTATTTTATTGTCAATCCAAAAAGAGTAGGCTTTAATTTAGAAGAAATAGGGAATCACTTTGAATTCACAAGATTGTCTGCCATCAGTAAAAATACAGTCTTGAGAGCTAAGATAATTCAATTCTAGGGAAATAAAATGCTATTTCTGTTCCAGGGTCCTGTGACTCATTGAGACTATGTGGAACCTGGGTGTGCTACAGTTAGTTAGTGGTTAAGGTGTCAGTGGCAAAGGGCAAGTTCGTTTGAGAGACTGGGGTTTTGAGGACAGACTTCCATGAACCAAGGTATGAAAGGTAGAAAGAGGAATGCAGACAAACCATCTGTGCTTTCCCTCTCATGGTCAGCAGTGGATAGAGGCACACAGGAGACCCTCTCACTAAGCTCAGGCCTCCTCTTAGTGTTTGTTGTATGCAAAACATTGGGCTCAGTTTTATGGGGAATACAAAAGAAATGATGGAGTAACAGTCGGTCTTCCGGTAGCTTTCTGTGAGTCCCAGTGCTAAATTCATATGAACATTCTTTTCTTTAGACTTCCCCACTGTGAGAGAGACTAAAAAAATAAAAATAAAAAACAGTAAAATGTTTCCTGTTACAGAAGAAGACCAATCAATAAATGTAGAAAGAATGCTAAATTAGAAAATCATTTTGCAAGTCATCAATTCAGTCAAGGGTCATAGTGGATGTTAAAGTCATTGAGTGTGTTACACACCTACTAGAATGACTAAAATCCAAAACGCTGACAACGCTCAGTGCTGGGGAGGATGTGGAGCAACAGAACTCTCATTCATTGTTGGTGGAAATGCAAAACGGTGCAGCCACTTTGGAAGGTAGTTTGTCGGTTTCTCACGAACGAAATATACTCATCATACAAGCCAGCAATCATGCTCCTTAGTATTTACACAAAAGGATTTGAAAACATGTCTACAAAAAAAACTGTACATGGATATTTTTAGCAGCCTTGCTCATAATTGCCCACTAAGATGCAGCTAAGATATCCTTCAATAGATAAATGGATAAACTGTGGTACATTCAAACAAGGGAATATTACTCAGCTATTAAAAAAATGAGCTCTTACGCCATGAAAAGACATGGAAGAAACTTAAATGTATATTACTAATTGAAAGAAGCCAATCTGAAAAGTCTGAATACTGTATGATTTCAACTATATCACATTCTGGAAAAGGCAAAACTATGGAGACACTAAAACAGCTGTGATTGCCATGGGCTGGGGAGGGAGGGATGAATAGATGGAACACAGGATTTTTAGGGCAGTAAAGCTACTCTATATGATACTATAATAGTGAAGATTATACATCTGTCAAAACAAACAAACCCTAATGTAAACTATGGGCTTGGGGTGATAACAATGTGTCAATGTGGGCTTATCAATTGTAACAAATGTACCATCTGGTGCAGATGTTGAAAGTGGGGGAAGCTGTGGGTGTGGTTGGGGAAGAAGTACTTTCTGTGCTTTCCACTCATTTTACTGTGAATCTAAAACTGCTCTAAAAAAAAAACGAAGTCTATATATTTTTTAAAGCATTAGTTGAAAGATTGTGGGAAGCAATATAGTCACGTGATGCCCAAGTGCCACCCCACAAACTACTAGTAACTATAACCAGAAAATGTGCCTTTACAATGGAGATAGTTTGTGGTTGCTACCACCTTCTAGGGACTACATTCAGCATCTTAATGGTGGTATAGCCTGACACCAGACATTGTGACAGGTTGTAATATGAAGTGTTCAACAGTATGAATGATGTTTTCTTTTTTCTTTTTTTTAAAGATTTTTATTGGGAAATTGGGGGAGGGGAACAGACAAGTTGCTGTCCTTTTGTTCTTCAGTCTAGTTGTGGAGGACGTTGCTTCACTGGCCCAAGTTGGCACCATCATTGCACTCTTCTCGGGCGAGGCAGATCAGTCGCTGGCTTGTGGACGGCCACTCACTGTGGCTGCTGGCCCCTCACGCTGGCTGCTGGCTACACACGGTAGCCTATGGCAACCCACTGCAGCAGGGGCTGTAGCCTACTCGGTCACTGGCAACTCATGGCAGCCCAGCTCCAGGTTGAGCTGTTGTTCAGCATCTTAGCTGTAGAGGGCAGTGTCACTGGCCCTCATATGTGGGATCTGAACTGGGGCCCTCTGGCATCCCAAGCCAGCTCTTAACCAACATGCCACTCGGCCAGCCCCTGAATGGTATTTTCTTGCCAAAAAAAAAAATGTGTAATCTGAATATAATCAAGGCTCTAAATCTAACTTGAAGCTTGAGAAGTTACAGGGGATGAAGTGTAGTTAAATGACATCGTGAAAATCGTCAGAAAGATAAAGAATACAGGACATTCTATAATTTATAGAATTATAAATTATTGGCACCTGGCCAATGACACATATATTAAAAATGTTTTTTGAGATGCACAGAGCTATTCTAGGCAGAAAGTTATTAAAGAGATATAGCAGCTAAATGCAATACATAAAACTTGATGGGATCTTTGGGACCCGTGGGGAAATCTGGATATGGATTAACATCAGACTGTATTATAGAACTAATGTTACTTTTATTAGGTATGATACTTTTATTTTGGTTATGCTTGGTAACGTCCTTCAGAGAGGAGTGCTGGGTACTTGCAGGTGTGTCATATCTGCAACTTACTTTTAAATGGTTCTCCAAAAGAAAGGGGTGATAAAAAGCAAATCTGATAAAATGTTTACAAAGGTTTGGTCTAAGCATAGGTTCTTGGAACATTTATGAACTAGTTCTTCAAGATTTATTGTGTTAGAAAATGTATTCTGATTCTCAAGTTGTTTAGATGAGTCAGCAACTGGGTTTCACATTTTCCTAACTGAGCTTAAAAAATAAAAAATAGAAAAAAATATTTCTGTTTTCCTAAGGTAAAAGTAAATATTTTAGTATACTCACAGGAGGACTGATGACAATGGCAGCGTTACACCTATAAATTAATTTAAACATGTGCTTTCACAGGTCAACCTTTACTCCAGACCACTGTAAGAATTGAAAGTAAATGACACATGCCACATGTTGCAGTAATGTAAACATGGGTGAAACTCAGGTAACTTCTCACTGTTGACACGCCTTTATCTGGCACCCACAGAGATAGCAAAAGGTGTGGAAGGGCAAGTAAAACCAAAATCACTTCAGAGACAGCTGACATGAGCTGTGTTTTGCTTCACCCCTAGGAGAGTGCATGCCACTGGAGTGCAACCTTTCTACAGGTAAGATTTAGGTCCCTTGGCTACTCAGGAGAAAATATTAGATGCTGCTTCTGACAGCCAGTTTCCCTGGGCACAGTTTAGTGCATTTCCCAAATAGGGGCATAAGGTAATTTCATTATCATCTCCAATGTCTATTCTTTTTTTCTAATTGTTTTTGTGCCCTTTACTGACTTTCGGCAGCGTGAGGGGGAGAGGTGGTGAGAAGATGAGGGAGAAAGGCAAGAAGAGGAAAGCCTGCTTGTGGGCTGGGCTGGGCTCTGGTGAACGCAGGGATTTAACCCCGTGACAGGCTCCTACGTTTACCAACAGCTCACCGGAAAAACGGGACTCAGATAAACTCCTGTGCAATCCCTTCTCGCAAGCCCTCCTCAGCAATCTCATAGTTGAGGCAAACTCTAAAATGTAGAGAAAAGCCTTCACTGCCTCCACGATAGGCTGCAAAGTGAGTGTCATTATCAAAGAGTTTCTTGTGCCAATGACAGAAATCAGTATTTGAATGGAATTTTACAATTTACACAATGCTTTGTTATATTTGTTGTTTTGATGTCTTTTTTTAACATTTCTGAGAGTCAGATATTGCTACAACTAGTTACTCCATTCTCACAGCCATCCTTTAGATTGAAGCACTCAGGCAGTGCCTGAAAAATGAAAGGAGGTCCTGTGATTCAAGTTATTCAGGGAACTTACATGTGTAGTGGTCAAAGGATCAGGCATTCTAGAATCATAGTCTGGGCTCAAATCCCACTTCTATGCAGGGACTGTGCACCCCTTGGCGAGTTATGTGTCTACCTGAATCTCATACTTACCCACAGGACTATTTTGAGGATTAAATAAAATGAGGCATGGAAAGCAGAGAGTTCAGTGGAGTACTTGATAAATGTTTGCTTGTCATAATGCTCAATGATTTTTTTTCTAACTGGTTGCCACGACTGCCCAAGTACCCACCTGGGAGCAATAGTCTTTCTGGCCAGTGCGTTCTACAATGCAGGGCTTACATGTACTTTTCTCCTTTGTTTCAAAATTGAATGCTTTCAGCAGCCTGAGAGTGAGGTCTCTTAGTTCAGGTAACGTTAAAACAATGAATGGTTGGAGACATGTCTAAACTCTTGTCCTCAGAATGGTCCCAAAGTGTAGCAATATGTTGCTGAAATTTAATAATTTTTATGAAAGCTACTTGAATTTCTTTCAAGACAAATCATCTACTTTGAGAATAAAATTTCTCCTACAGAAAAAGTATGAGGAAAGTCACAATCTTCTCTTGCAACTCAGAATGCTTTCTCCATCACATTTGCATTTATTTTTAATAGATGATATCATTTCTTTTCATAATCACAATATTACACATGTTGCCAGGATGGTGCCTGAGCCAGAAAAGTCTATATAAGCTTGGAGAAGAAAGTGAATTTTCTCTAGCTTGATGTCTTTCCTGATTTATAAACTTGAAACGTGCATTAACTCATAGTGAACATTAAGGTAAGTGGAAGCCCCTAAAATTTTCCAAGGAAAATACTTTTAGGGATGTGGTTAATATTCTTAATAAATCCAAATAAGTTAGTGGAAGAGATCTGTAATGCCCTTACTCCTTGCTCTGTCCTAAAGGCAGGCTTCTCCAGGATTTTTCTTCCCTCTCAAAATCCACATATTTATAATAGTGTTCTGGCAATAATGCTCTTTTAATATCTTGTTTCAATGGGAATTTCTAGCAGGTCAGGGCTAATAGCAAGATGAAGGCAGCTTGGCTCCCCCAGCATCCTCATTTGGGTCTTCAGGACATCTCAAAATTAAGCCCTGACTGACTTAACATAAAATAGATGTAAGACAAAGATAATTCTTTTTACCAGATTCAGCTTTTGCCTTTTAAAAACAAAAATTTTTTTGCTATATTTCTTAGCATTTTTGACAGTTTGGACGGCAAAGTCATCGTGTGGCTTCAAATTCCATCTTCACTATTATTAACCGTGTGATCATGGACGAGTTTGCTTAACCTGTTAGTTACTCTGTTTCCTAACTGTAAAATAGGGCAACGCTTGCAAGAGTTACATGCATATGGAGCACTTAGAACTTCTTGGTTTGCAGAAAGAGTCCATATGTAATGCTGCGTTGTTATTATTATTATTGTGGGACTAGTGGCAATTTCCTCAAGCAGCTGTGGTCTGTTTTAATCTGGGTTTTGTAGATATCCCAGTCTAATTTCTATGTGAAATAATTGTGTAAGAATGTTCGAGTGTAACAGAATATGATTGTCAAAAATCAAGGATGTGTCACCAGAAACAAAAAATGCTCCATTATTTTTTTAAATGGTGGGTCTGGGAATAATATACATTAGCTCCAAGAAAAGCCTATTCTTATGGTGAAGGCCTGGACTATAATACAATGCAGGAAACCTCTTTCTTAGACTTAATGTTGCTTATTTTATTAGTGACCTTGAATAAAGCTACTCAATCTTTTTTGTCTCAGGTCCTCACTATAAAATAATAATAACTGTACCTGCTTTAGTTTGTCAGAGGGATAGTGTAAAGATCAAGTGAAAATGTATGAAGGCTTTTATTGTTATGATGTTATTTTATATTATTGAACAACTGTTTAATGAAAAACAAATTTCTATTAGATATGAGATCATCAAGGGAGTTCACACAATAGAAAATGACTAGATTGAGAATCCAGTCTTTGTTTACTAATCACATAATATTGGGCATCAAGACTCAAAGACGGGTCGTTAATTATAAAGCTTCCCTAGTAATCTGTGACCCACCTACAGGTCAAAGTAGATTGTGTAAGAAAATGCCCTGTCAATTGGAAAGATTCTTGTTAACATAAAATATTTTCATAGTAATTATTTATATAATTTAAAAATTCAACAATTTTAGAAGCTGTTGCTAAAATACATATTTTGGAGAATTAACGTATCAAGGGTAAATACCATTGTACTAACTACTTCATGTGTATTGCAATTGTGATAACATAATGAATCTATCAGTTACCTTTTTTCTTACTAGGACAATCTTTTCTTCAGTGAATCATCAACATGGATGTGGTTTTGGATACCTCCCTATTTTTGGGAAAATTTGTATATTATTTTCTAGAATCTTTAGTTTACAAGATAATTCCCAAGACAAAAAAGGATGTTGCTGGAGAGATTGTGCTTATAACAGGAGCTGGAAGTGGACTTGGGAGGCTAATGGCCACCAAATTTGCTAGCCTGGGAGCTATTTTAGTTCTGTGGGACATTAATGAAGAAAGTAATATGGAAACATGTAGGCTGGCCAGAGAAAAGGGTGGCGTGGAAGTATTTGCCTATAAGTGTGACTGCAGCAACAGGCAAGAGGTCTACAGAGTTGCTGATCAGGTAAGCTGATTGGTATCCTTCTTAGCTTCTATGCCAAAGAAAAATATTGCATCTAGTTTGTGTTTTTACAAAAAGAGGAGGAGAAAAGGTTGTCATACTTCCCCCAAAATCTCTGTGTGTCTTTTGCTTGATTCTTTGTGTCAGGAATCCAATTTTGTAGTCTCCACAAAAGGGCATAAAATAAAACAGTGGAAGTGGACATCTGATGAGGCTCCTGAGTTGTTGCCCAACTGCTTTTCAGAGAAGTTGCCCAACTTCTCAGACACTCATTACCATCATGAGTCAGCAGAAACAAGGACTAGTCCTGGCTCTGTTGTTCATTACTTGTGCAAATTTTTTTTTTTTTTAGTTTTGGTGTACAAAACAATGTAATAGTTAGACATTTACACCCCTCACAAAGTGATAGTCCCCTTACCTAATCTACTGCCCCTCTGACATCATATATAGCTGTTACAATTCCATTGACTCTATTCCCTATGCTGTACTCCACATNTCTGAATATTTTATTTTTTATTTTATTTTATTTTCATTACAATTTAAATTTAAATAGCCATAGATGCATATCCCAATCTTTGATCAAAAATGCTGGACCCTAACCCAGTCGCTAAAAGCCCACTGTGTGGGTAAAAAGACAGTAAGAGTTCTCAGGGATGTTGGTTCTTTTTCCACAGGAGACAGGTTCTGCTGAGTTTGGATTCTCCAATCTCCCCCTCACTCCCCCCACCCCACCCTCCATCACCAAACTTTTCTGCCCTCTGATGTTTAGTCTCCTGTATCCGTACCCCAGGGCTAGGGCAAGGGTACTCAGAATGAGGCGTTGATAATGTTGCTTCTGGGTTTTTCCTTATATGAAATCTCTCCTCTTAAGGCATTGCTTCTGTAATATCACTTTCCAGTAACAGTTGCAAATGAGAGGCATCCTCCCTGCTGCACTTGGACCACTGGTTCTCCCTGATTTCAGCAGCTGAAATCGAAATATTGCCCAAGACAGCATTTCTACATGGGAGGTTCCATGCCTCCAGGTTTATTGCCCAAGCAAAGGAGGAGAAAATAATCACTTCATCAGAACAAAGAGTCCAATTTAGAGCTTTGAGTTGCAAAATAGGCCTTTGAAATCCTTTTGAGACATGAACTTGGAGGATAATTTGTTTTTGTAGCTTCCCTAAATTGAGCCTGGAAGACTTTGCATAGAAAAGAAAAGCCTTGGCATGAAGCAAAGACAATGGGCCCACTACAGGGGAGGAATGACAACCAGCTTTTGAGGAAAAAGCTTATAGGAACTGAGAGAGGAAAGTGAGGAAATCAAGAAAACTGCTGGTGGGTCACAGGAAGCACACTGACAAGGGTGACCTGGCCTCTAGGGAACAGAACCAAGGGGAGAACCCAGCA